AAACGTCTAAATAAGAAGTCATTCTGATCTTTCCATGTCAATTAAATACTAACTTTGCATCTAATTTTCAATAAGAGAATAAAATTATGTTTGGTATACTTTTTTAAAAAAAATTGATTTAAGTTGTTTTTTAACTTTTAATAAAAAAGAAGAAGTTATAAATAAATTTTTTAGAAATAGTTTTTGACTTGAATTAAGTTTTGTTATAAAATTGAGTTACAATTTTTATAATTAAAAGTTAATATTTTAAATTTTTTTAACTTATGGATTCTAACTCATGCTACATTTTTTCATAAAAAATTAATTTAAATTATTTTTACCAAAAAGATTTCTAATTTGAAGCCATTTTAATTTATATTTTATCACTACTTGTTTATGGAAAAGTTTATTTAGTTATAACACAAAATCAAAAGTTATTTTTTTTTATAAATAATGCCAAACATACTCTAAATTAAAAAAAAAAATTTACTTCCTCGTTCAAAAGAAGAAGAAGAAGAAGAAAAGTATACCATGATAATTATTCACACAACTCATTTTATGTAAGAGAATTAAGTACACTCTGCAAGCGCACGGAATACATTACTTTACAAGAGATGTTGAATGCACTCAGCATGCTTTCTACTCTTTTGTTAATTCGAAGCATAGCCAGCAGTTCCATAAAAAGCAGAGAATACACGAAAAAAATGGGGGCACGTGCCATGAACATGGGAGAACAAGGTCACCCAATGCAAGAGCAGAAGATAATAACCCGAGTTTGAGTAAGAGTAAATTTTAAAAAAAATACTTGATGATACTATAATGATAGAAATTATTTTTTTAAAAAAAATTAACGATAAATTTTAAAAAATATATATTAAATAACATAATACCTATTAAAATAAAATTATATATTTTATATATTTTTTAAAAAATATACTATCCTTATAAAATTATAATGTTTTTATTTTTATTTTGACGCTATTAATTTCTTATAGCACTTATAGACGACATAAATTTACTCATCCAGTTCGATGTGAGTTCATCATTAGAGCCTAGAGGCCAATTATTAATAAATAGAGTCAAAATAAATCTTCGCATGCGGACAAGCACGCATAAACATACTGATACGGAGAGAGAGAGGCAATCATTATTTCCTCCGCTGTAGTTTTCAAACTTTTCTTCGAGTCAAGGGTAAATCAAGCCGTGCGTATCTTTTATTGGAGAAAATTTTGCAAGATTTCACCCCGATCACGACTGAAGTTGCTGTATTAAACCCCACTGATATGAATTGTCCATCTGATTACTTGACACAAGAGGAAGTTTTACCCTATTTATTACACACTCGGTGAAATTTTATAAATTCAATTGGCTTTTGTAATTTTACGCCATCATTGTAACTTATATTGAGTAAAAAGATTAAGGAACACGATTGCTTACATTTTGCGGTATGCATCTTTATAAATATTAATATATTTTATTACGAATATGGATGAGATAAAAATGTATGTTCTTTTCCTTGTTATAAATTCAATTTTAATTTTTATGTTCAATAATTAAAAATATTTTCAAACTAATATACGCGTGAATTAAAATTAATTTTTTTCAAAAAGCACCTCTCATGCTGCCTTATCTCATTAAATTAATGTATGGTGGTATGAAAGCAATCCTTAACAATCAAACATATATACTCTTTAAGATTAAATAAATTTAAGTCCGCTCACATATGTTTGATGGTGTGAACAAAGAAAAAACTTATGCAGTATCACTCTTTAACAGTGATGGCGTATGCCTTATAGACGTGCACATTGTAATTAAAGTCAGTAGTTCAGTGGGATGACATGGTAGCGTAAAATAAAAGCAACAAAGCGCTACTAAAAATCAAGTTACTGTCGTTCTAAAACTGCACTTGGGGATGAGAGGAATTTGAGCAATTTCTATTCCACTTCAGCTTGCGGCATTGTTTTTCCTTTTTCCTTATTCCTTATTCCATGTATTAGCCTCATTTTATTTTATTCTCTCCCGCTCAACTAGGTCCACCATGCCGGCTGGCCATGTGATCATGCACAAGTTCTATTTGACCGATCCTATTCTTTTTTCCTCCCCAATTAGCTCTCGAAACACAATGATTCCCTCGTACATTTTCACAATGTGAACTTGAGCTTGCGTCTTTCTCCATCTCTATTTTTTTGCCCTTTAACATTTCTTACGTAAGATCTTTGTCAGACGAGAATGTGAAATCTAAACGATGGAATGCAGGAATCAGCATCTAGGTTATCATTCTGAGCCATTGAAATTTGAAAATGATTGGCTAGGTCCTTTTGTAGGAATTAATAGCCAGCCTCAAGTTAACTGGACCTGGAGACTTGCTTCCCAATAACGCCTCACGGACTAAAGAGGCTAAACATAGCTGTTTTCCTCACCTTCAAAAAAAAGTTCAAATTGACGAAGATTTCAAATTTTTGCCGATTTCCTGTATAAAGCATCACGTTGATCATTCTTGGTAGGACTGCTCGCACTGACATGGATTGTTTAATTGATCATATTGCCCGAAATTTTGTTGTCAATTAAGTTTCTTTCCTTTACAATTAGACAGTTTAAAACAGCACCCAGTATAAGTAAAAAAAGGGAATGAATGATGCAATTACAACCTCATGGCTGTTGAATAGAACTTATCCATTCTTCTGTTAAAGGCATCATTACTTTTGACATTTCGTGGTTGTTTGATCTTTCATGCCAAATTGCCAACAAAGCGATGAGCCTACTAAAATAACCAAGTCAGAAAGGTGGACGAGGAAATTGGTAATTTGGTATTTTACTTTGCTTGTTGAAACAGTTTGGAAAAAGAAAAGGCTTGTTGGAGTGATAGGACTCCAAGCTTGCAACATCCCGTTTTTCTTGTTTCCCATTTTTTTTAGGTTACATCGTAACATCCAATTTGAGAAAAATAAAAAATTGATTAGCTTTCATCGAGAGTCGACTTTTATCCCCACTTATGGTCAAATGCAGAAAGCCATCCCAGTCATGATCCAGCCAGTCCCCGCCAATCCTCCTCTCACAAGGTGTTAAACACATTTTAAAACCCCGATAGATAATTTTCAGCAAGAAAAGCTTCAGTTAGTTAACCAATTGGAGCACAGCAACTGTAAAAAGGACAGTTTGTCTTTGGATCTAATCCACGATTTACTTGTCTAGCAGTGAACAGTGGATTGAGAACGGAAAATTTTATAATACACGAGGAGTAACTCAGTGGCATATACGATAGTTATTTCTTGTATTCACTTTGAGGAGAGAGATAAACACATAAAAAGAAAATTACATCTATATCCATCAAAAGTGATAAGAAGATTTCCACGTTGCTTTCAAATTTTTTTATTTTCTCTCTCTTTTTGTATGTATATCTCTCTCTCAAAGTGAGTCCAAAAAGTAATTATTATACATGCCACTGAGTTACTCTTTGTATATTATAAAATTTCACGTAACATTCTTATACCTCCTCCATAAGTAACTACAACCGGCATACTTTAACGCATCCTTATCTGTATTAAAATTTACGCAATAACAAATTTTTCTATCCTAACGAGTCGACAATCCACAAACACCTCATGCAAGATATGCCAAAGATGGACGAAAGCTGCAACTTGACCCGCGCATTTGGTATGCTGGGGGACTCTAAACTTAGAAACGGAACCTAGAAGCTTTTATAGATGACAAAGAAATAGAACGATTGGACTTTATCTTACTTGCTCTTTTGCATCCTTTTGAAGAAGACTAGACATCACTATAATTCCATGCTGATATTGTAATGAAGATGATGTCTGCCACATGTACCCCCATAACGGGTTATGGCCACCCCAATAATATATGTCAAGTTAGACCACTTTGTTCCATGCAGAAGCTAGTGTTCATGGGGGTTGAAGGTCGTTTTATTTTCCATATAAAACAAAACACGACGTAGTACAAAGTGCAGAGAGCGAAATGCAGAGAGGGAACAGGGAAGAGAAAGAGACAAATTTCCCTCAATCATAGGGTGTACCAGTGTCTCAGTTTTTGACCGCACAACAATCAAGGTATATCCAGTATGAGTGATCATCGGCCTGGAAGAAGAATCTCTGTCAAGCATGTTTCCTGCTTCAACAAATCGAGAGCGATATATAAAGTAGAAAACCAACGACAGCCATATTAGTTTGACACCTGGTTAACAATGGGCCGATGGATCCAGCTAACACAATTGAAGGAAACATATCTTTCAATATGACCTTTCGAACAAAGAATATAATCAAAGAACCACAATACCAAATCAATTACGGAGTTGTTCATTCGTATCATTCCACAGCTGGCACAGAAGGGACCAAATTTCTAATAAATGATTGATTAGTGTTAAATATCTTGACCTGTTCTCCGCAAAATAACAAAAAACGACTTAAAATTGTGATCTCGGTTTGCAAATGTATAAAATGTTGCACAATGTTCATAATTCACAAAACCTGACCTAACTAATATATATTTTTGTTTTTTGGGTGAAGGAATCTGACATAATTAATAAGTACAGAAAGATTTGCATTTGCAAAGGAAAAATAAATAAATAAAGACCTGTATAAGTTTAAGCAACATCTCATTTAAACAAGGCAACTTGAAGATTGATATGGGAAGAGAAAATTAATTAAATGAAAGTAAGAAATCCAGTTCATAAAACATCCTCAATTGCGCAGCTGTGTCAACATGACTTTTGCCTCCGGTGGAAGCTGTGCTAGGGAACCTTCTTTATTCCAGTTTTCTTCTAACTAGTCCTTTGAAGAAGTCAAAACTGTAGCCAATGAGAAAAAAATATTGTGATTACTTTCATTAGGAGGATAATGAGGCAAGTTCTCTGTATGGAACCAAATCATCTAAATGTAAAACTATGTGATACTAAACCTAGCATATTTTAGTTAAAGTAGAGAGGATGATAGCAGACAGTAACAATCAGAAGCATATTTTTTTCCAACTGCAGCCAGAAAAATTTCAGAAACATAGAAAGTTGTCTATTGGCCCATTCCAATTTGCAACCAAGTCAAAGGACTCAAGACATCTGAGTTGAGAAAAGTTACATAATGGCCCCTCTGATGTACATGGATCCATGGAAAACTTGTATGAGAGAATAAGATAGATCAATACATACTGTCCTCGTGCAGCTACCTGAAGATATGGTAAAAGTTATTTTGCTAAAGTGGTGAGAAAGCTGTTTAGGCTGCAGACCTGCAGCCACAAATGTCTCGTCCATAGTGCCAATTGCCAAACGCACCCTAAATCTTATTGGAGGAGAAATCAGGAGACACACACACACATGCATGCATACCCATTTGCATCTCTTTTTACATGCATGAACTTTGGATGAAATAAACATAAGCTGCATCAATATTGCAAAATTAAACCCAATAGGCTTAACTAGAGAGCAAACTTGAAGAAATGAAATCATCTATTATCTAAAATTTAGGGAATAAAACCCTTTCTTGTCCTTTAAGAAAAAGGAATCCAAGAAAATAAATCTTCATAGACCTAGGAACATGTTTGTTTATACACTGTCTCTTGCAATTTCACATAGCTCCTCAGTCAAATGTAGAAGCTTCAAAGCAAAGCAGGACTTATGCACTATGCTTTGGTTGATTAAGCACTACTCATGCACAACTTACCACCACACAAACCCATACATTCTCTTGGAATTCAACTTGAAACAAGTGTAGATTATCATAAACAACAATATATGTTTGGGAAGGTAATACCAACCTACCTGTTTCCATCAGGATGAAGTTCACACATATGATTGTCTTCACCAATAGCTAGCAAATAACCTGAGGATGTCAAACCCTGCAAATAAAAAAATTAGCTAAATTCTTAAGAACATATCATTTCAGGTTCTAGCACAAGCGGCATGACACTTCCACTTATTTATCACCCATTGCTAAATGCAATGGCACCTTATTTTGCAGATCATCATATAGCAGGTTTATCATATCAAGGGGATTAAGTAACTAAAATTTTCCGAACATCATCAATGAAACTGAAATCACAAAATCAAGTACGGAATCTTCAGTTTGTAATGTGTAGCAGAATAAAACTCTTCCTCAGATCTACATAGAAGCAAATAGTGAATTCAAATCGCAAGGTAGCATGTTATCTCCAAACCATGTCAATGGTCATACCTGAATGGTAACCACATCCTCCACTACTTGATCCTCGTTCTTCTCCTGGATGATAACTCTCTGCCCACTGCATGAACCCCTCAAAACAAAATCATAACTATCCATGCAAAAGATGACAAATGCATTGCAGATCATAATACTCAAATTCAAGAGTTCAGTACTGGATAAAGAACATAACCATGGTTCCAACATACCACAGATAACCTCCGAAGTTCCAATAACAGAAGCATAAGGATAAAAGTTTGAAAGTTTGTAATTAAATGATACTGAAAGGTGTTCCCAGAAAACAAATATCTAAAATATGCTTGTCTGAACAATTTAAACATGTCAAATGTTGTATTATAGCATTGAAAGTTGAGCAGTTCTCTAGCTTAACATGAGGCTTTTAAAGCAAACCGAATAGAAAGCTGGGAATGAGAAAAAAGTTGACAGAAGTGATTTTTGGAAATTAACCAGTTACTCTCATAAGCTGAAGGCATCCAAAGGGCATCGATAATGTGAGCAGCTGATACAGGGACATGCCTGAGAAGATAACTAATGACTGCTGATCTGAACAACACATCATCCTAGCTGAAGAAAAGCGTGTGAAGCAATACTCTTATCCATATGGCAACTATAAGTTTGTTTTTTTCGCCAGCCAAATTGTTCTAAGGTTTGCCAAGCACCATGCTCAGGTGTGATAAATTCGTAAACACAGTAAATTAAAATTTCAACAGGCCACGATACATTTAATGGCTACAGAAATAACAGGGTATGATAGATCTCCTTTGCTCTTGAGGATTATCTACTTCAAAACTTGTCTGGACATAAACTTTCAAAGGAAGTGATGAAATATGAAACCAATAAATCATCTTTGATTTGAATGGACATCAACCTAAACCAAGTATAAACATTACCAGTGCCCTTTACATTAGAAAAAGTAAACAAGCACACCCAGAAAAGGAAAGCATTAACACAAAGAAAAAGTTGCAAAGAGGAAATCATGTGAAATACTGGCAAGTATTCAAAAAGTACATCTCACCTGTGTAGCCATGTTTTATAATAAAGCTCCTCAAGAGTTTGAAATCCTGGATAAAAACAAAGAAAGAAAGAACGAATGTGGTATTATTATTATCATTACTACATGTAATATACTTAGTTTGGAAAGAGTGATGATATTATCACTAGAAACAAATTGCCATTTCTAAAGAATTTTCTGATGCAGCTATGAGAAGAGGAAAGGAAATGACAATATTACAATTAGGACAATACTAAATTGTAACAAGTCATTGGAATTTATGTTATTGAGAACTAACCAAACAAAAACCTAACCAGAGACAATTGACTAGTTTTTGGAGATTAAAAAAAAAAAAAAAGACACATCAAATCTTCACTTTTTTTTTCTATCAAAATTCCCCATTCACGTAAATAAAACCATATAAATCTCAATCCACTATCCTACCATTCTAAAATTCCTCAAGAGCAGATTCAAGCAGGACTACAAGAAGCAGTTCGTTATGAATTAGCATGCACATTCATTAATTGGTTGGAAAGTATCAAATCAGCACCTTCAGTCTTAGAGAACTTAATAAGAGCTAGCTCATAGAAGGGTTTCTGATTTCTGAATAAAACCAATACAGAGGGTGCTTTACCAGGCTACGAGACAGCAAACCAATATCTGTAAGAAATTTTAAGCAGACTCCTAAACGCCACAATATGTAGGCATACAAGAGCTCAAAGTGGCACAAACCAAGTACACTAGTCTTCTCATATCCAAGAGAAAGAACCCCCAAAAAGACAACCAAAGAGCTAAAACTAAAAACTATTCCACAAATGCAATGGGAGAAGGAAAGATATGAAGCCATGAGGCTGTAAATAAATCTCAAAAACAATTATTTGAGCTCCTGTAATGAAGTTCAATCTCCTTCAAGAGTTCGATCAACAGGTATTGAAATCTCCAGGCTAACTTATTTTTATTTTCATCCTACATCCAATAACCCTTAAATTTAAGTCACCAAGGTGTTATTTCTCTTTCTTTAATGATGTTAAGGGGCCAGCAAATCTTCAAGAAACAATTAGAATAACCATCCAGAGCCATATATGCCTTTTACCCTTTTTTGGAAAGAAAATCAGTTAATTGCCACAAGAAATTATAGTTTAGACTTCGAACATAATAAAACCAAAGAAAGCTGGCATGTCTGGATGGCATTTCTACAGAATGAATGATAATTGAAATGGCATATTTGATGAGGGAAGTGACTTTTCAATAATTTAAAGTATCGACTCACCTCCAATTATGAAAAGCTCATAAAATTTTTCAAATTTATTTAAAAAGGCTGCAACAATATCTTCTCTTCTTAATGCAAATGCAGCACCAGACAATTCTCTTAAGACTGCATTCAAGCATGTTGTTGGTTTCTCATTGTCGACATTCAAGCCTATACCTGCAAAATTGGGATGCTATTTTATTTGTATCATACATACAAATTTAGAACCAATCTTCTGTATAATTGGTGACAGAGAACAGGTGCTAAAGAATAAACAAAGTAGCCTGTCAGCTATGTGGAAGTATGAACATCAGAAAACATTTGCAGATCATTTAAAAATTATCACATTTACCGGCACTGACATTGAACTTCTTTGATCTATACGTTGAGGTGCAGAGAACGCCTCCAATTTTAAGGCCATTTAAATAAAGATCATTTGGCCATTTTATTCTAACGTCAATATGCGGTAAGCCCTGAAATAAAACACATGCCCCCAAAGGAGTGAATCAACATCTAAACCTCAAACTTGCATACAGGCTGACTGAAAATTTGCAATAAAACAATCACGCATAGCATCAATGGGTAAAGCAGCCAAGAATTGTCTCTCAATCAGACACTGACAGGAGACATTCTTTAAGAAGTTGTGTTTTTCTCACACCATTCTCATGTGCTCTGGTTAAGCAACATTTAGGTATCATATAAGAAAGAAAAAAGGTTATAAATAGGTAATGGCTGGCAACACACTTTAATTAAAAAAAAACAAAAACTTACATTTTTGTTACAAACATCCTTTATTCCCTCTGTAACAGCAAGAGACACTACATATTGCAACAAAGGCACAACTCGCCCATCCTCCATTTGAATGGAAAACGAAAACATCAAGCAACCAGCTGGAGATTCCCACGCATTCTTCGATCGACCTGCATAATTAAACAAAAATATACATTTGGCATATCTAAACTATTGATTATTTGAAATCCAAAATCACAGCATGAAATTCCTATCACAAACCTCGCCCTTTATATTGAACATCAGCAATGCAAACTGTACCAATTGGAAGCTCACCAAAATTGCTGCCAGAACATTAAAACATAATAATTAAACAACTGTGATGATTCAGACGAAAACCGGAAGATTGAATTTGGAGATGCTTACTTGGAAACAACATCATGAGTTGAAGGCAATAGCGGAGACCAAATAAGTAATCTGCCGAATCGATTAGTTGAAAGAGAATCCATGAACCGTTCAATAAAGAAAGATTCTTCTTCATTCTGCGGCTTATCAATAATCTCCGAGTACAAGAAAGCAGAGATGTCCACACTATCAGGCAGTTTAAGAGTGTTATTATTCATTAATGATTTAGCAATTTCATTCTCTGCAGATGATTTTCCACATAATACCAGCTTACAAGGCGTACGACTGCTATCCATTGCTGAACCAAAACAAGAACAAAAAAAAAGATATCAAAATTGAGCGTTTCCCAGGCAAGGGAAAGATATTTGATACGTACCTGTAGCGGCTGCAGCCGATTGATAGAGAATGAATGAGACTATTTGGCTTGCGGGAATAATGAGGTTATGTGAGAGAAGTGAGGGAGAAGTTCGTGGGCAGAATAAACGCAGGGGAGGTGTGGATGGCATGAGCTAGACTCCGTTCCCTTGTTTCTTTGTCGTAGAAAACCTCTCCTCTTCCTGAGCTCAAGCTCAAAGCGAGGTTTTAGTTGGTTTTGGTTTGCGGAGAAAACAACGTGTTATTGGCACAGGAATGATTAAAGTTTGTTGTGGACGTTTGGAAGCCGTTGGATTATCAAAGGGACACGTCATTCCCAATAGGAACGGCGGTGAGGTATTTGTTGACAAAATTATGTGTGACGTTAACCCAAATTTTAGGGCATGTTTGGGAATGTGAGAATTGGAGGAAGGGAAGGTCACACCAAACATTCAAAATATTGGAACAGCCTAGGCTATTCCGTCTGCACTGTGACGTTAACCCAAATTTTAGGGCATGTTTGGGAATGTGAGAATTGGAGAAAGGGAAGGTGAGACCAAATATTCAAAATATTGGAGCAGTCTAGGCTATTCTGTCTGCACTAGAGTTCTGCTCTGCTGGATGCGAGGGGCCAGTCCAGCCTGAGTAATCTATCTATCTATTTATGGAGGAATTGCAAAACGTTCTTAAAGATCGTGGATTAGCTGTATCTAATCTTCCAGAGAAAGGACGGTCTCTGCTCACCACCAAGAATTTCTATCCAGGTCTCTCTTTCTCATTTATCATACACTTCACAAGTCCAAGAACTCAATAGCTCCTTTTTTTGTTTGCTTTTTGCTAGGAAAATACTTCAGTTTCTAGAAAGCGAAGCCAATTCAAACCTCAATATCTTTTCTTCAGTAAATTAATTGGTGTTGCGACCTTTTGTCTGTGTACCAAACATTCGCAGGAGAAGTGATTTTAAGCCAAGAGCCCTATGTCTGTGTACCAAACAACTCTTCGACTGTCTCGAGATGTGATGGATGTTTTGCATCGGAGAGCCTCAAGAAATGCTCGGCTTGTCAAGTTGTGTGGTACTGTGGAAGCACATGCCAGGTGTATATTCCTCTTCTCCACATGAAATAGTTACCATCTATGAAAATAAGTACCCTGGATAATAATTCCAATTTCTTTTTCTTTCCATAGAAACGGAAAAAATTAGGAGTGAATAATGGCGTCTGTGTATAATTTTCAGAAATCAGAGTGGAAGTTGCATCGACTCGAATGTAATGCTCTCTCTCGGCTCGAGAAGGAGAAGCGAAAGTCTGTTACGCCTTCTATTCGTCTGATGGTTAGACTCTACCTCCGTAGAAAATTGCAAAATGAGATGGTAATTACTTTGTCATTCTCTGGTTTATCAATTACAAATTTCACAGTTTGTCGTTCTTCATTTCGTATCTTTTGCACCCATAGATTGCTCACCAGCTCTTGTTTTTGGCATATGTGCTTACAATCTTTGATTGTTTTGACTGCCAGGCCATCCCTACTAGTGTTACGGACAATTACAATTTGGTGGAGGCATTGGTGTCTCGTATCCACTCATAATGTACTTCGTTTCCTTAATATTGTGGTTGGCGTGAATTGATTGCTTTGTTTAACCTTATATTTGGTGAAGACATAAAGGACCTTGATGAGAAGCAACTGGTGCTATATGCGCAGATGGCCAACCTTGTCCACTGGATTCTTCAATGGCCTGAGATCAACATAAAAGAGATTGCTGAGAACTTCTCCAAGGTCTGCAACTTATGTTATGCTATACATTAGGAATTCGTAGTCACCCAAAGCCATTTCAATAAGCACCCCCACAGTTTCAGCTGATTTATATGCTGGGAGTAGTCTCAAGTTTTTTGTAAACAAACTTGTGCTGTAGTTTGATATTGCCTATCGCAAGCTTCCCTTGCATGAAACAGCAGGGACGGTACAATGTTGTTTTGGGAACTTGAGTGCTGCAATTCATGCATTATTTAAGAATTTGAGGGTTGTTTTAAGTAAATCTTTTAATTGATTAGTGTTCGACAAAATCTTATGTAGAAATGCACGGGGTCCATAAGGAAGTGATCCTGTGTTTTATTTTCATGTGGACTGCAGTTTAAAATGGAAACTGATTCTATGTAGTACACTGAAACAAAGCTCCATTTGAGACCTTTTCTGATACTTAGTTCTGGCATCTGATCCTCCACAATGAAATGCAGCTGGCATGCAATGCCCATACCATTTGTGACTGTGAACTAAGACCTCTGGGCACAGGAATCTATCCTGTTGTTTCCATTATCAACCACAGGTAATTATTTGAGGAATACTGTGAGCTTGTCGTCGTTCCGTGTTGTTGGTTTGTCAATTCGCTCTGGTGCTTGCAGCTGCTTGCCCAATGCTGTGTTGATTTTTGAGGGAAGGTTGGCTGTTATTCGAGCTGTAGAGCACATACCAAAAGGAGCAGAGGTAAGGTGTGCTTTCTATTAATGATTGTACTTTGTACATTAGTTGAAAAACCATAGGAGCTGGAAGGTTTTCATTGAAGATCTAAATTTCACTTTTTTCCTCGCTTGAGCAAACACTACATTATAGTCTGTTCACCACCTTTGATAATATTGTGAATAGGGTAGAGCTACATATTATTTCAATCTTCATTGTTTCCTCTGGATCTGTATTGGACTCTGTTCACAAGGTTCCTAGACCATTTGAGGTTTGAAACCATATAGATTTTCCAAAAAGCGTCTTTGCATCTTTCTTTTGCAATATCTGAAGCAGTGGCAGTGTCAACGTTTGCCAAGTTAGTTGGGTGATGCCTATTTTAATGTCAAAAAAAAAAAAAACCGATGATTCTTTGACACAGGATGCTAGGAGTTGTTGTCTGCTGGTTTGGATTAGCCTTTTTTGAAGCTTCAATGAACTTTATGTATCTTTAAACTCTCCTTTTATCTTGCTTCTGCTGTTTTCTGGAAAATATTTATTTTGGGACATTTAGTTATGTCATAAAATGACATTAGATTGCAAATTCTCACTTAAGTTTTAAACATTCTTGTATTAATGTGTTTCTAAACTATTTGTTCTGTTCTTCTTTTAAGGTATCAATAGCTTACATAGAAACTGCTGGAAGCACTATGACTCGGCAAAAGGCACTCAAAGAACAGTACTTTTTCACTTGCACATGTCCCCAGTGCATCAAAGTGGTATCCTCCTGGACTAAATTTATAAGAATGCAGCAGATGCGTGCATGTGTGCGTGTGTAAAGTATGTTAGACTTGTCTTTGCTTTTTTCCCTAACTTATAAAATATTTCGCATGGAGAAAATATTATGAGGAAATATGAGGAAATGTGATATCTACTTCTTTTGATTTTTGACTAAACTTTGATAAATCCAAGTGATTTTTGTAAGGAGACTGTTTTTATTAATCGGTTTGTGATGACCTGAAAAAAGAGGTTCCCCAATATGCATGAACACAAAGACACACGCCTTCGCTGCCAGCTGATAATACTTACGTTCTGTTGAAGGGTCAATATGTTGATATTCAAGAAAGTGCAATTCTGGAAGGCTACAGATGCAAAGATGATAGATGCAATGGTTTCTTGCTTCTTGATTCTGGTATATGATCATATAATAGTCTGGTCAATTACTCGAGCTTTGCAGTTTTTTATTTCTTTTCTTTTTGGGTGTGACAGAAGACAAAGGATTTATATGCCAAACTTGCGGCCTTCTTAGGAACAAGGAAGAGGTAAAAAGATTGCAACTGAAATAAAAGTGATTTCTGATAAGGAGCCCAATTCTATTTCCTCTGGCTGTATCCTTTCATGTAATTCTTTATTTCCTTTTGGTTCCATAGGTTAGCTTCTCTCCTTTTTGCCTCTAATCTCCTTTCCATTGCCATTATTTTTTCGCTTTTTTGAAATGATATTTCCATCTACATTGACTAAATTAAACAAGGGTTTGGTCTCTAACTAAGTTTAGATCATGAGGAAGCTATTTCTATATATAAGATGATTGAGAAACTTCAAAGGGAACTGTGCCATCCTTTTTCAATAAGTTTGATGCGAACTCGAGAAAAACTTCTGAAGGTAGCTCCTTGATGGTGTTTTCTTTTTAATGATTGTTCCTTTACCAACATGGAGCTCTGTGTTTGAAGCAATATATGTAAATATTATATAAATGCTTGTGATGAAACGTATTATTTGGCTTCTCAGATATTGATGGAGCTAGGAGATTGGAGAGAAGCTTTGGCATATTGCAGATTGACCATTCCTGTATATCAAAGTATGCCAGCATCAACTGGAATTCTGAATAGGAGATATCTTAAAGCTTATTGTAATTATTCCCTGGTTTCTAATAATGGAATGGGGATACTTTTGTCTAGTATGGTAATATGAAGGCTTATTCCTGTAGGCCTTGGAAAGTCAAGCTTCAAGATTTTGTAAAACTATCTACTTCAGCATACCAAGCTTTTATATTTTGTACTTGGGCCTGGATACTCTTGAGTTGCTCATTGTTGGTTGACTAGTATCTGAACAATCATACTCTAGTGCTTTGATAAGCGTCCTTGGGTCCATATAATTCATCTTTTTCCTTTTTGAATTGCAGAATTGAAATTGGATTGCTGCTGATATCCTAACTTTGTTCCCTATCCTATTGCAGGAGTGTATCCGGAGCTTCATCCTTTGCTTGGGTTGCAGTACTATACCTGTGGCAAAATTGAGTGGTTAGTTTTTTCCCTTTACCTCTTAGATTCTATTCTCTCATTCCAACCTCATTTTTTTGTTCTTTTCTTGATTCAGTTTTTACATGCTTTGGCAATCCCTTTGAACTCCAATCTTGTCAGTAATCCTGCCTTTGAGGTTCAAAGTTGTTTTTGGGCATGCAGAACTTACAGTTACAGTGACTGCTGGAACACTGTCTACATCAGGCAGATTGTGAAATCACACTTCACAATATTATTTAGCATAACCTTTTTAGTAATGGATGACAGAAATTAAATAACTACACCAGTTTATTAAGTGAGATTCCATTACATAGGAGGCAGATATTGTAATTTGGCATAAGAAATTGGGCAGGTTAAGATTGGCATATACTTCTCAGTTCTTTGAAGCTTTCTTGTTGTCTGACTTCTGATCCTATGTTATGCAATGATTCAAATCTCTTCGCATTTTTGATACAAGAAACAAAGAACTGAATTGCCTGTGTTTGGCATATTCAAGATATGGTGAGGACATCTTGTTATGAATTATTTCAGTGCTGCACCACATGCCCATGTACAAACAAAAGAGAAGCACTTAAAAAAATATTCTCACTTTTGTGAGAAATATTTTCATTGGCGCCAGAGTCTTAGAGTTTAAACTAAAAGCTTAGCGGTTGTTGTCACTGGTTTTGAGTGAACTGAACTGCTGTTATTTGTGTCACAGGTTGCTTGGTGACACAGAGGATAGCATCAAGTCACTGACCAGGGCTGTGGAGATACTTCGAATCACTCATGGGACAAACTCACCCTTCATGAAGGAACTCATGATGAAATTGGACGAAGCACGTGCTGAAGCTTCTTACAATCTTTCATCTAAAGATGAGTAGCATATACTCTATTTGGAATTCTTTAATTAAAATGGCTCTCCCTCTTCCTCCCTTGATACTGCTACTTTACTGCTGCTAGTATTGCCTGGTAAAAATACAAAGTGGTCCAGGAAAGGCAAGGAAATTTGCTCAATGAACTCGTTCTAAATGATTCTGTTGAGCTCTATTTGGTCATCATTTGAGAAGTGGATTTACCTTGATCTCCCAGCACTGCTTTATACATAATCTCTTACATCATCTTGCATCAGAGAGCCATGTGTCCATTTTCTTCCAACAACTTGCACAGTTGCAATCAATTGGATTTAACTCTGTTCTTTGGCTATTTCTGCATTGCATTTGCTAGCCTGCTCTCATTTTGACTAGCTGATAGGGAGATTTGTCTTTGTGTTTTATTTTGGGGTAGGAAGCCTGTTGTGCAATAGCAGCGAATTGATGTTAAAAAATTACTAAATGAATATGCTCAGTATACGTGTTAAAAAAGAAGAAGAAGAAGAAGAAGAAGCTTCGTATAGAGTTGCCTTCAAGTATAAATTTCTTGCCTGGAGCGGTTGGCCATGGAACTAGGATGAGGATAATATGCTTGCTGTAGGTGTTGGTATGACTCAGATTCTAATATCATTTGCTAGTTTGTGCACTGTTTAATTTTTATCTTGCAGAATGTTGACATCTACCTGCTTTCTCTCTATCCAATTCATGTTGTTACATGCTCAAAACGCCTCTTCTCAGTTCTCAAATATCAGTTAAAAAAAAAAAAAAAAAAAACCTACTACGTAATTAGGAAAATGTGCCTTCTTTTGGTGCTTAATGCATAGATATCCTTCTCTGAGAAAGGAAAATGCCAGAACCCTATTGTTTACTGGTCATTAAAGAAATTGCAATCTTTGCAGCATGTCATAAATGCCAAACCATTTTCCTCGTTGTGCAATCTCTAGTCTTCATTATTGGCAGAAAAAAAAATCTTTATAAAGCATAAATACTTGTAAATCATTCCTAACAAACCAAATTAGTGCTTGCTATTCTATCGAAGAAAGAAATTACTGCATGCTAGAATCTTTTAAGGCATTCCTGCGTTATTTCATGACTTGAATTTCTAATAAAATCTAAACTCAAATTTAAGGTTTGAAAAACTGTGGGATTGGGAATCGAATTTTGATTATTCATTCATGCAAGTGAATTTATGTTCGAATCTCACTCAATCTATAATAGATTGATGGTGTGGTTAATCTATTTAAAATATCCACACAAAAAAATAGTTTAAGCTGAAAATATTGAAACCAAAAAACTGAATAGTAATTGAGTTTGAGTTTTTTTTTTTTTAGGTTCAGTTAATTAAAAATTAAACTGAAATTATTAAAAACTGAATCGAAAATCGAATTATCATATCTACGCGTCGCAAGCAATTCTTATTCTTCCATGAGTGCCCTCTCTCAGTTGCCTATGCATAGCGCGTCAAACACAGGTGATATGTCAGCGATTGGGTGACTTGGAAAGTAAATTAAAAAAAAAAGATGGTGATTTAAATAAGAAAAAAGAAAAGGCAGCTTTTAATGGAAACCCGGATCGACCCAATGGGTCTAGAATGACCTGCATATTTGTGGACTTAAAACTTAACTCAGATTGGATTTAAAGTTAAATCGAATAAGGAATTGATCTGATAAATTTGTGTAGGATTTGAACCTTCCTCTGTCACCTCCAAAAGTTTTGTCAATTCAAATTTACTTTATATATATATATATATATATATAATGGACAAGCAGGATCAACCCACTGCCCTAACAAATTGATCCATGACCTGATAACCCAGAGCCTGGGCCGGACCAGGTCTCTGGCGGTGTCTGTAGGCTATGGCTCTTATCTATGAGAATCATCTATCACTTGATTTGATAGAAGGCAGATCAGATGGACTTCCCACCTACATTCTCTCTTTATATGCTCTTCATTCTCTTTCAATCTTCCAACAGAAAAGAAGGCCACTGGTTCTTGTGGAGAAAAATTCAATGGTAATTTTCTTATTTTGCCATTTCTTGTCATGTTCACATTTGTCTTTTCTTCCTTTTTTTTTTTGGGTTATATCATTCTCTTTCAATTACTTATTCCATCCTATGGATTTGGCTTCTCTCATATTTATTTTATAAAACACGACTGTTTGTTAAACTTGAACAAATAAAAACCCTGCCAACATCTCTCTCTCTCTCTCTGTCTCCGAAGATTAAGTTGCTCCCCATCTAGTAATTATTAAACTGAGTTTCTCGATATACCATGCCTCAGACGCAAGTACTTCACCTTATTGCGATGTGCAATTTTGGCTTCCTCGAGTCATTTTAGGGCAAGTTAACCTTAACGGACTGCTCTATGGACATTTTAGGGCAAGGTAGTCTCGCCGACCTGCCTGCCTTCAATAAATGCAACGTTAGGCAATAATTATCTTAGCATTTGTTGTTGTGTAAAGGCAGAAACAAGAATGTGGCAGAGCAAGTGTTTGATATGTTTGTTGAATTGTTGCAGAATCTAGTTTGTCAGAAATGCGGTGACCGTGGTTATCCGGAGGCTCTAAATTACTGTGTAATGTGTGAAGTTGTTGCTGAACACTCGTAAGTTTCCTCCTATCTATTTGATCGTATGATTAGATGAAATTTTGGTAGTTCTAAATGATGGAATGCCGTACTGCATAAACTTGATGGAAAATTGAGACGCATAATTAACCAAAACAAAGGAAAGAATCAGTATAAATTCACAAGCAGTAAATAAAGCTTTATTTTTATATTATTTTTTTAATGGTCCCTGCTATTGCACATTAGTTTCATTAGTTATGTTGTGACTATAAACAAAATCCTGTGTGTATTTTTAGCAACTTCTGCGCTTCCTTTTTATATTCTCCAGCTACTGCTTAGATGTTGTTCCAAAGGATTTGGATAAGGATCTGGTTTGGACGTGTTGGTTTTGTTCATCTGGGAATGATGGTGGACATGATACCTTGGATAGTTATACCCAATTATCGACGAGTGATCAAGCTGTTAAATTTGTTAGTAAACAGGAGCAGAAAGCATCAGATGCATACCTGAAAGGTGTGAAAAAGGCAGAGAGAATAAAGCGTGGTCGCTCTTTGCAATCTGATGAAGTAGAGGCAGATAAAAGGGTTTGCTTGACTAACTCGACTGATCGAGAGGCAGATAAAAGGGTTTGCTTGACTAAATCGACTGATCGAGAACTGGACTGCTCTCAGCTTCAGGAGGAGAATAAGAGAACATTATTTCACGGTGAGAGCTCTGATGAACATCAAAAATCAAGCGAACATGGTATGTTGATCGCGGAAGATAGGGGTGGCGCAAATGAAGAGGTATTAACTGTTGAAAAAGAAGCCTCTCAAAATGGCAAGAGTGATCTGCCAAAAATTTCAGACCATGATGCCAATCTTAATGTACAACCTTTTGAGGAGAACGAGAATACACTGTCTGGTGGTGAGAGTTGTGCACAGGATCAGAACTTAAGTGAACAGAATAGATTGATTCTAGATGTTGGGGGTGGCTCAAATGAAGTGGTAAATTGTAGCGAAAAGGAGACCTCCCACAATGGCACTGGTGATCTGCCAGAAATTTTAGATCAGGATTTCAACACCAATGCAGAACCAATTCTTGATCCCATATGGAGGTAAGAATATTGGCTTCTCTTTCTATTTTGTCCTGTTCCCTTCCTTACCGTGGGCAGTTTTGGTGGGTTAGGTGTATTCTTTAACTTTTACAGAGCATTAAACTTATTCGCTTTACAAATTTGGCAGGGGAGGTTTTACCATCAACAATGGAAATTTTGAGGTTATGAATGGACTGGTGGCCTATACATCTAACCAAGCATCCCCAAAAGTTCGTGAGACAGCTAGTTTGTTGCCTGGATTGGTTTCTATAGAAATGCTTCCTAGGCTTGAAGTGTTTCCAAAAAGGTTTGCTACTACAGTTGTAACAGCTGGAGATATTGGCCTTTACATCTTCCCAGAAAAAGAGAGGTTCCCTTTCTGACAACAATGTTATGCCATCTTTCAAAGTTTATATTCTGTTTTAATTCCTTGAAACATTTTTTTCCTCTCTTCAATTTTTGTAGAGACGAACGAGCTTTTGATGAGTTATTGGATAGTATAATTGAACAAGACCTTGCCCTGAAAGCCGTTCTTGAGAACGCAGAATTATTGCTCTTTACATCTCTTCAATTACCTTTGCATAACTGGAGTAAGCTTTGCTGCTATTACATGTTTATATCTAACAGTCCCTCTTCTCATGGGGCTGAATGAATGCTTGAATGATTTTTTTTCAGGATATCGAGGAAAGTACTATTTGTGGGGCTTGTTCAGTAGAAGGAAGTCTTGCCGTTTAAATAGAAGAGAGCATGTTACAGCTTAGACTTTGTAAAATGATGGGTGCAGCAGAAAGGAGAGGCAGCTCAGACGGATCGGAACTGTATCATTGCCTTCATAGACAAGGAATGCTGGAAGGAAACTAGTTTAAAATATTGAAGAAACAGTAACGGTCGCAATCGCAATAGCAAAATAACTATCTCAGTAAATGATGTCGTAAATACATTAATAACTGTTGATAAATTTATACTAATTCATATATTTTTAACAGTTTTACTAATTAAACATATTAATAAAGAATAACACATCCTAATTCATATAAATTTATTTAGTGTTGATAATGTTTAAAGTAAGATATTTTATTTCACAAAATTTTTTCATCAATTTTATCATAATGTAATTTTTTTTTCTAATTTTTAGAACAAAAAGGAAAACAAATTAGAAAATAACATAAAATTAAAAAAAAATATGACCAAATAATTGGTTTTTAAAACAAAAAGGACCAACTCTTTTATTTTTCTAAACTAAAGGAACTAATTTATAATTTACTCAATTAAATCTTCCATGCGTTTGAATTTGTTGTACCTGCACGCAAGACTGACAACCACCGGAAGTAAATTTTACACTAGTCTCTAGATTTGATTAATGTTTGAATTTGTTGCACCTGCACACAAGACTGACAACTTGAAGAAAATTATAGATTAATCTCTCGTTTTGATAAATAAATAAATTAATTTTTAATATTTTAAAAATTAATTATTTAATCTTTTGATCGTATTTAATGTAATATATTTTATTTTATTATATGTTTTTTCATCGATCTTTTCATGATATAGATTTATTTATTTATTCTAATAAAGAAAATAAATTAGAAAATAACATAAAGTGAACAAAAATAACTAAATAATAGGTTTTTGAAATAAAAAAGAATAATTAATTTATTTTGCCAAAATAAAAGGACTAATTTAATATTTAATAAGATAAAGTCTGAAACTCTAAATAACTATTTTTTTATTATGTATAATGCCATCATATAATGATAAATAATGATATTATATAATAACAATGCCGTTATGTGTCTTTATATTTGTAAAACGACGTTGGAGGCATTTATAATGTCGAATAATAATAACAAGATTATATAATAATCACTATGTTATGTAACGGTTATTTTAAAAACTATGAGTATTATTTAGAGATAACATATTTTGACAATTCCGGCAATCTTTTAATTGATCATGTCTAATATGATTTTGCTAAAAAGTTAAAGCATGGGTACCTAGGAAATATTAGCACTTGATTTTCAGAAAGGTGGGGTCTTAATTGTATTTATCTTTTGGGGAAAGTTCCTCAATTTTGAGAAAATAGGACTATGGTTTTTGCAGCCTTAATGCTGCTGTGATTGATAGGGATGAATTTTTGACATAGATGTTTCATTGTTGCGTATACAATAATACAAATATGAAAATGAAAGTTATTATTTGTCGTTTACGGTGCATGAAGCTTGCAATTCTTTTACATGTGCAAACGTACGCAGCCATCTCATTGTGTTTTCTTTTAGATCTTTCTTCTCCTTTCTACCTTTTATTTTTTATTTATTATTATTATTATTTCCAGTGGAGATCATACAGAAATAGCTTATGAATTACATGCCTTGAAAACGAATGGATAAAAAAGAAATGTCGGTTTATTCTTGTCTCCGAACTGTATCCTGCCACTAGAACTCTTTTTAGGTAAAAAAAAAGATGTTGTCCATTGATTACGTTGTCCGTAGATTCTTTAATCCGTCTCAAAGTTCCGTGATCGATTCACAAGCTGAAAGCTGGGAGTTTTTTTTTTTTAATCAACCTTATTTCCGTTGGAACATTAAACATCTAGAACCATGTTCTTATTGCTTAACAAATAATGCTAGAGATACCCCGATCGGTAAGATGTGCAATTATTAACAGCCTTAACTAACAAGATTTATGCTACTATTTCATTAAAAATCAACTGTGAATCTACAAGGGTATATATACAAAATCAAAGGAGAAGAGCTGCAGCTTAAGCTAACGAACTAACTACTGGTTAACTGCCAAGCTAACAAGCTAACAAACCTGCAATTGACATCCAACTGACTTAAGCTAACTGATAACTGATAAATAAGCCTTGATACCCCCTAAAGGTGGAGCATACAAATTGTGAATGCCCAACTTGGAGACAGAGGCATGAAACAGAGACACAGAGAGGGCTTTGGTGAAGCAATCAGCTAATTGATGCAGGGAAGAGACTGGGAGAAGTTTGAGAATTCCTGCTTGAAGTTTTTATCTGACAATGTGACAATCAAGCTGTATATGCTTGGTTCTTTCATGGAATACAAGATTGGCAGCAATATGAAGAGCTGAATGATTATCACAAAATAGCAAAGCATGGTGAGGATGTGGAACCTGAAGATCACGCAAGAGATAGAGAATCCATTGCAATTCACAGGTTGCATGAGCAAGGGCTCGATATTCTACTTCTGAGCTAGACCTGGAGACAGTGGCTTGCTTCTTGGACCTCTAGGAGATGAGAGAAGAACCCAAAAACATACAGTAGCCCATAACAGACCGTTTAGTGTCAGGGTAAGTACCCCAGTCAAAGTCGGAGAAGCCTTGAAGTTGGAAGGAATTGGCAGCAATGGAAGAAAAGACCTTGACTAGAAGCAGCTTTAATAAATCGAAGAACTCGATGAGCAGCCCTCATGTGGTTTTGAGTAGGGGAATCAAGATATTGAGAGAGTTATTGGACTGCAAAAGTGATATCTGGTATGGTTGTAGTGAGATATAGCAATTTGTCGATAAGCCTACGATAGGCAATGTGATTAGAGAGAGCATTACTATCTGTTTTGGCAAGTTTTTGAGTCAGAACCATGGGAGTAGAAGCTGGCTTAGAATGAAGAAAGCCTGAGTCCTGTAACAATTCAATGGCATATTTTCGTTGGCACAAATTGATACCTTTGGAAGATCTGGCCACTTTAAGGCCTAGGAAGAATTTGAGAGGACCCAGATCTTTGATCTTGAATGCATCATGAAGAAAAGCCTTGAGCTGATGAATTTGCTGCATATCAGGACTTGCTAGAATCATGTCATCGGCATAAACTAGTATTGCAATGAAGTGAGAATCAGAGTCTTTCACAAACAAGGAGTGGTCAACAGTAACTTGAGAAAATCCTTGAGCAAGCAAGGCAGTAGACAATCTAGCAAACCATTGTTTGCTGGCTTGTTTTAAGCCTTATAGGGACTTGACAAGTCTGCATACCTGACCCTTGCTAGGAGTCTAAAAACCAGGGGGAAGACACATGTAAACTTCTTCATAGACATCCCTATGCAAGAAGGCATTATTAATGTCAAGTTGTTCTAAGTGCCATTGGCGTATTGAAGCAACTGCCAGTAAGGTTCTAATGGTGGTCATCTTAGCAACTGGACTAAATGTGTCTAAATAGTTAATACCAGCTTGTTGTGTGTATCACTTGGCCACCAAACGAGCCTTGAACCGCTCAATAGTGCCATCATATTTATATTTAATCCGAAATACCCATTTGTATCCAATTGAATGTTTCCCAGGAGGCAAATCTATCAGGACCTAAGTATTATTGTCTTGATGTGCCTTAATCTCATCCTGCATAGCAAGCCTCCAACACTCGTGTTTCACTACCTCTTGATAAGTTTTAGGTTCAGAAATGTGACTGGCCTTAATGGAAAAAGTTTTATGGGGAAGGACTAAGATGAGAAAAAGAAAGAACATTGTTAAGAGTGTGAGGAGAAGTACCTTTTTGAGTGAGAGAACCGGCTATGAAGAGATGATTGGTAGAGCTGACAGTGTTGGGAATGGAATAATGGTCATACTCCTAAAGATAAGAAGGAGTGTGTTTCTATCTAGAGGATTTTCGGGTAGGCTGATCAAAAGGGGCATGTGCAACAGTAGCAGGAGCAGAAAGAGGAACAGTGGTCGAAATGGCATTTTGTGCATTATGATCAGCACTAGAAGGGTGGACATGGATATTGAAAGGAACAACAGCAGGGGGGATGACAGTGAAATCAATAGGAGAAGGGGAAGCAGGAGAAGATTGGAAGTCAGATTGAAAATCTGAGGGGAAGACATGAGGTAATACCAAGTCAGAAGAAGAAATAGGAGTAAAAGATTTCATAGGAAAAATGTGTTCATAGAAAATGACATCTCTGGAAATAAATATTTGGTGAGTGATAAGATTGTACAATTTGTAGCCTTTTGTTCCATAAGGATAGCCAAGAAAAAGACATTTTGCAGCTCTTGGGGCAAATTTTGATCTTGAATGTGCAAGAGTAGATGCAAAACATAAGCAACCAAACACTTTAAGGTGAGAGAAAGTGGGTAGAGTGTGATATAAGATTTCAAAAGGAGTTTTATTCGCAAGGATGGGGGAGGGCAGACGGTTGATCAAGTAGACAGCATGTAAAATGCAATCTCTCCAAAAAGATAGTGGAAGATGAGATTGAAATCTTAAAGACCTAGCAACTGCCAAAATATGCTGATGTTTCCTCTCAACCACACTATTCTGTTGTGGAGTGGAAACACGTGAAGTTTGATGTATAATCCCATGTATATTGTAAAATGCAAGCACATTGTACTCTTGACCATTATCAGTTCTAATGCACTTTATGTTAGTTTTAACAAAATTACAGAAGTTTTACGTAAGGGACCTGACTTCTGATTTCATTTTCATTAGGAAAAACCAAGCACAACGACTGAAATCGTCAACTATTGTTAGAAAATAGTGATGACCAGAACAATTAGGTATAGGAAATGGACCCCATATATCCATATGAATGAGGTCAAAACAAGAAGAAGTTACAGAAGAGCTGACAGGAAACGCAAGGCGTTTCTATTTGGCTAAGTGACAGACTTTACAAGGAGAAATGTTTACAGTCACAATTTTAGAATCCAATGATTGGAAAAGCTTTATTCTGGCTATAGAAGGATGACCTAACCTATTGTGCCAAAGTATGGTGGAAGAATGTGAGGAGTAATCTTTGATGCACGAAGCAGAACTTGGTGGAACACTAGGAAGAAGGCTAGAAGGTGAAAGATGGTAGAGTCCTTAAGACTAGCTAGCTATACCAATCATCCTCAAGCTTTTCAGGTCTTGTATCACACAAAAAGAAGGGTGAAACAACAAGAAACAATGGGAATTAGCAGTCAATTTTGTAACCGAAATAAGGTTGTATGAAAAGGATGGGGCATATAACACATTGAACAATACCAAAAAGGGTGAAAGCTTGATAGTACCAATGTGTGTGATTAAAGCTTGTTGGCCAGCTAGCAATTTGACAAACATATGAGAAATGGAATGATATTCACTAAAAAGATTTAGATAACATACTATGTGATATGTGGCTCCAGTGTCTAATATCTAAGTGGAAGGAAAAATTATAGAATGGGAATGGCAGGAAGAAATCAATTTACCTATCATATTACAAGAAGGAGAAAATGCAGACTGAAGAGAATTTATTTGAGCGAAGGTGTGATTTGTGGAGATTGAATTAAGGCCATAAGATTGGTATACTGAGCTGGTGTAAGGGTGATGGAAGGAGGCAATGTCACGCAAGCATCAAAACTTGAAGCAGAGGTCTGACTAGGAGCAGAATCAATACTTTCAATAGTGGATCCTGACTGATGAGTCCCTGTGGATAAACGGGCAGCTTAAATTCTACTTACAGAGTGATTCCTCTAAGGAAGGTTATTAGAGCCAAAGGAGGAACTGATTCCAGAAGGCCGAGGCCTTGCCTTATAGCCTAGGAGAAATCCATGCTTTTTATAACATTTATCAACCATATGGCCGGGAAGACCACAATAAGAGCAGACTGGTTTACTTGATGATCCGCTTGAAAAACTCAGAAACCTCTTCTGCGGATTAGGAGCAGTTACTCCTTTAGTCATAAATGCAGTTGGTGAAGCCTCAGTGAGAGGTTTGGGTAGTATAGGTCCCAAGCATAGCTGCCTTTCTTTTTGAATAACAAGAGAAAAAACTTTGTTAATTTCAGGCAATGGATCAAGAAGTATGATTTGAGACCTAACAGTAGCATAGCTTTCATTCAGTCCTTTCAGAAATCTGATAACATAATCATTCATCTGATAATGTTTCACAGTTTTAAGAGCATCACACTTGCAGCAAGGATTAGAAGAACATGTAGGCACTGGCCGTAAGTTCACTAATTCTTCCCAAAGGACCTTAAGCTGAGTAAAGTACTTTGTCACAGAGTCACTACCTTGATGAAATGCAGCAATTTCATCTTGTAGAGCTGCAATGCGAAATGAGTCTCCATGAGAGAACCTTTCTCTTAGATCTGTCCACACCTCTGTAACAGTATCCAACTAGAGAATGCTTTATGCAATTGAGTGAGAAACCGAATTAACCAACCAAGATAACACCATTGTGTTACATCTTTCCCAATTAGGATAGAGAGGATCAATAACTGCAGGAACTGAGATGGATCCATCGACAAACTTGTGTCTGTTCTTTGACAGTAGTGCCATTTTCATGGATCTTGGCCATGAATGGTAGTTAGAATCAGAAAGAACAAGAGAAACTAGGACTAATGAAGGATTTTCATTAGCATGCAAGAAATAAGGACTTGAAGGTTGATCTTCAGGCCTGGGAATAGATCTTGTGACTAGATTTTCTGCCATTGAGATGCAGATGAAGCTGATTCTATAAGAACGCTCAAGAGAAATTGAGAAGAGAAACAAGAAAACGCAAGAATTCTTACGCAAGAAAAGGTGTTTGGTTCTCAAGAAAGTGAGAAAATGAGAGAAAACTCAAGGTGAAACGGAAGCAGAGAAAATGCTCTGATACCATAACAAGAATTATGCTACTATTTCATTAAAAATCAACTGTGAATCTACAAGGGTATATATACAAAATCAAAGGAGAAGAGTTGCAGCTTAAGCTAATGAACTAACTACTGGTTAACTGCCAAGCTAACAAACTAACAAACCTGCAACTGACATCTAACTGACTTAAGCTAACTGATAAATGATAAATAATCCTTGATATTTACAGAAGCATTCAACTAATACATTCATATTTCACCTCATCATGGAGCTCACAACTGACTTTCGTTCTTTTTCTAGTGCCTTCCACAAGAAAATTCCTTGCGGCAAGGAAACCTCGGGCTGCTTTGCTTCCAGATCGAGTATGGTCGTCCTTGCAAGAACACTGGCCTGCCACTCCAAGAACTCAAATTTACGCGAGTCAAAGCATTCTAAACAAAAGAATGATCAGTTTTGGCAAAAACTCTTAGTTCCTCCTGCTTTTGAGTCAATATTCATCTCTATTCTTGTGTTTTTAATTTGGTGTTCTCTGAATCCTTGTGTTTTTTTAGTTTGTTAATTAACTCCATAGCTATCTTTTATCAAGTCTCAACATTAAATTGAGTGATATTAAGAAAGGGCAAAAAAAAAGTCCATTGCTATCCCAAGTTTGGTAAAATATATATATATATATATATATATATATATTGGCTCAGTTTTGTTTCGAGACTGATTCACGCGTATTTTCATTAGAAAGATTAAATCAATATCTTTAAGGAATTTCAAAAAAGTAATCCATTTTTTTATTATTTTAAATTTATTTAGGTTTTTTAAATAAAAAATTATTAAACAATATGTATAAGTCATAAATGGCAAGATATATGTATTTTTAAAATAGTTTTAAAATTGGTGATATAAATCCTACATTGATATAAAGGTCATCTCATAAATAAGAAATATTTACTTAATAATGTCAAATATAATTACAACTAAAATTGACACAAGTTAGTTGTTGGATTAATTGGACGGATTCAAAGAAAAAGTTAATTGATGGAATTTAGGAACACGAGGGTTTAATTGATCGTATTAAAAACATAACGGTAGAGATAAATAATTAACACACATACCGAAGTAAACTGGGTTTTTTCCATCAGATTTTTTTATCGTTCCTTGCTTCCCTAGCCAATGTGTTGAACAATTTCTTAGAACCATGATAAATGGCTATCTTACATAAAAATTGAGCAATACATGTGAAAGATAAGATCCATTTTCAAACTGCGAGCATTCATCAGGTCTGTAAAGAAGATACAGACAGAAAAGAATTGGAGTTCCATTCTTCTATTTGAAGACATAATAAAACAACAGGGAAGTGTAGGACGGACATCATTTCTCATATTCCCAAAAGACTTCCGAGTTCATTACCTCAAACAAGGATTTATACACCGAAACTATTCCTATCCTCTCTCTGACTTTGCTAAACATTCCTGGAGCTGAAAACAAAGCTTACACATCTGGGAGAGCAACTTATGTTGTTGGTCTCGTACTGTTAATGATTCAGATGTCAGATTACCTGGGTTGAGCAATTGGTGGAGCTCGCGGCATAGCATAGAAGCATCTTGATCACCATTACAAGTTTCTGCAACAAGTTGAAGCAGTTTACAACCTTGTATCTGAGATATAGATGGTTGAGTTGGTACAGGGGGACAAGAAAAGGGTGTTGGAGTAATTGAGGGATCCTCCATCTCTCGTTCCGGTCCCAAGCCAGGCATTTTTTCATAAGATCAAGAAGCCATGGGTTGGGAACTGGCTCATAAGTTATCTCATGTTTTGGGTCTGTTATAACTTTGAACTTGGCCCAAAAAGTCTTGTACTCAGAGAAGGGGGTTTTTCCATACACCATTTGGTAAAGGATACAGCCAAGGGACCAAATATCTGATGGCCGACCACACTTTATGGTGTTTCCATTAGCATCACTCTCATTGCACATAAATGCCTCTGGAGACATGTAGCTTAGGGTACCTACCTGCAGAAACAGATATGAACCACTAAGCAAAATTATACTCCCTAAAAAGCCTCTTAAATAAGCTAAATTGACAATCAAGCAATCCCCTTCATCCAAATATATAAAGAAAAAAAAGAAAGGTGTATTCTGAGGTGGCAACATGTGGTCAGTCACCAGATTAGCACAAACTAGGTGGAATCTGCATTCTGATGCAATCATAATTTAAAATCTAATAATAGTTTGTAAAACCGAATCCGAGGAATAAGTAAAGTCCACCTGTGAATCCCTTTGAATGTTAGTAGTATCACTCATTATGGCTTTGGCGATACCAAAATCAATCAACTTTAGATAACCTTTGACAAGAAGAAAATTTGCTGGCTTCAGGTCAGAGTGCACAATACGTTCCTCATGTATGGTATTGACAGCTTGAAGTATTTGCTGCAAAATATTTTAGAAATCAACGTCAATCTGCACTGCCATTTAATTAACAATGAACAAGAGCAACAAGTTCTCCGCATTTTGAAGATGATGTAAATTTGCTACTTGATAGTATAATATGAATACAATGTTGCATCAGTGACATAAAACAAATGTGTTTTTCCATCCATGCCAAATACCCTTCCAAACAAAATGTGAGAGAGATTGAAAATGAAATAATGCCAATAATCAACATCATGCCAGAATTCGAAACCTAGCCACCCCATGACGCAGACCAAGACTCGATAATGAGAACTGGGGCATCATTATAATGCTTCCTTGAAACAAAGAAAAATTGTCCCCACCGTCCAAAATGACTTTCTTCTAGCAATAAACACTAATATCTGAATTAGTAGCTATAGCTATCAAGCTTACTGTGAGAAAAAGTTATAGTGTTAATATATAAAAAACTGCAACTATGCTGCAAAATAAGGTGTAGCCCAAGGACCTGCCAATAAAATCTAAGCCAATTCTCATCTATCGTCTGGTTGGAGCTATCCATCTCCTTCCATTTCTGGGACAGCATGTGAGCCAAATCAATTTCCCCGTACTCAAGGACCATGTATATACACCCATCATCTTTGACTCTTCCATCTTTATTACTTATGGAGCCACTCATGACTTCACGGAGCAAATTTTTATCTGTCACCTAAATCCAAAAGAGAATATTAGAGATATACTAGATGAATGAATCAAGAATAGATGCCAAGCCTTGGAAATATGGATTTTGATGAGAAGAAAAAAGAACATCAAGCTCAAGCATTAAATATCTGTTCTTCTGAGACAGAAGGTTTTTCATCTTCTGCAATGATATCTCAAAGCACCTATGTTGCAGCCACAAAGGATCAAGTTCATGTAAATTGGACAAACAGAAAGAACATGATAATATTCTATTGCAAACATGATTACCCCAAATTAAATCATATCAATTAGTGCATAATTCTTTCAAGGCTGCAAGTGGGTACCTCATAATCTATTAACTGTATAATGTTGTTCTTCCCCTTTAGTTTGTTTAGATATAGAATTTCCTGACAAAAACCATATGCAGTCCCATAATCACGACCTTTGAGCTTGATTTTCTTGAGTGCATAGATTTTACAGTCTGATGAAATGACTTTGTGAACCTCACTGCTTCCTCCGCTTCCTATCTTACCAAGCCTTTGATAGAGCTTCCCATTAACTTTAAAGAACAAATCAGGGTCATAACTCCTTTTTCGAGGCACTGATGTACCTTTACTACTTGCGACCTTTTCTTGTTTTTCAGGTTTAGGCTCCAACTTCATGTCTGAAGATGGGTTTTTGGACATCGGAGGCTGAGATTGGACATCTGTATCAATATCTGTTGGTCCCCTCTCCTTAGTGGGCTTATCAACAACATGAGAAGGATTGTTTGCAATGTCACTTACCTCAGGCACACTTCCCTTCTCCTTAGGCAAGTCATGTTCCTTAAATTGGGAATGAATAGCAGAGGTAGAAGGCTGCACTGTAGTGGGTCTCAAGTCAATCAGCATGCCACTCGTGTCTTTCAATAAAGGACGTGAAAGGTGCTCCAAATTCCCTGGATTTACGTGCTGAGAATTTGCATTAGCATCCGTCAAAGGTTCGACTGCAGCTTGAGGACCACTCTCTGGATTCAGACGAGAGCAATACGTGGTCGAGTTTAGCATGGGTGCCGAAGTAGAATGAACAGATGTTGTGGTAGCACAAGATGGGCCAACAACAGAAGATTGAGTAGCTGGCTGACTTAAAAAGTTCCTCAATTGATGCAACTGATCCTGATCAACTATTGTTCTTTTTGCCAGTGATGGTACAGCTCCATCGGACCTCAAAGTGACATCTGATTCCATGTTCTGAAAGTTCTGCTGCTTTGTCTCGTTATTGATCACGTTTGACACCTCTACTGGATTGCTTACATCCCATTCCATTTCTGTCAATGCAAGTGAACCCATATGAGAAGATAAGTTCTCCAATCCAGTGGCCATTCCATCATCGGCCCCTGCAAGTTAGAAGATAACAAAACAAGTATATCTAGAGCACAAACTTCAGAAACTTTTGTCACAGCATCACGGATCTGATGACAGACAACAACTAATCCAGCAAAACCAACTTTCAAAATATAACTCAAAGAAGCAAGGAGCAGTATATTACCCTGGGAAATGGTGTTGTGCACTGTTGCAAACTGGACTTTTCTCTTACCCTCGACAAGTTGAGATTCTACAGATGTCAGGGGTATCGGATTATTTTCTTTAGTATCAATGACAGCTTTTGATTGTTCTTTCTGTGCATCAAAGGGATTGAAACTCTCATCAAACGTCTTCGTAATGGTTCCTGGAAATGAAGGAGGTGTGATTGATGCATCTTCATGACTTTCCCTAATAACAGCAACGGGATTCTTTTCCTGCAGAATTGAATCTTTACTTAATGAAACATCTGGAGACTTCTTCGTGTCTGTAGTTGGACCCACATTTGAAGCTACTGCTCTTGATGCTTCACGCTGTGGAATTAACGTACGTCTAGGCTTTATACCATTACTCGTCTGCATTATACCTAAAAACGAGCATACCAATCATTTAAAGCTTGAACAGTTATTGCAATTTAACTACCAAAAGTCATAATTAAAGTATTCAGGTTACAGCTTTGAAAAAAAAATCTTCGAACTTGACTTCAAAATGAAGAAGTCAAATCAATTTAATAACCGAATAGTCAACAGATATAGTAATCAGCATTCCTGGATTAAGCCTTGATTTCACTTTTTAGTAAATGACAATAGATTAATAAATGTGCCAAAATCGAACCCTAATTTTCGGAACTTCTTAGTAGAAGCGAAATCCAGAGGGATAGAAGAGTACAAAAAAGTTATAGAGAGTGGTGGCTGTACCAAGGGGGCGGTGGCGCTTGAAGGCGGCTTGGACATGCCGGAGAAAGTCCGGCGGGGAAGAGGAGGAAGAGAACGACGACGAAGAAGAAGACGTCGTGTCGGCGGCGTTGGTTACGGGACGAACGAGATTTCTTGGGGGAGGCGCAGATGGGACCGGAAGGTTAGCCTCCCTGTCCATGGCCGGATCTCAACAGCATTTCCGTCAAGGAGAGGGGCAATTTGGGAAGTAAATTACCAAAATCGAGATACTTATCAGGAGCGAAGAGATTTTAATTTGGGGAAATTAGGGTTTTTGTGATGTCCATGAGTATGAGGAAGAAGTAATGGATTTTTTGAGTGTGTGTGTTGGTGTGTCAGTGAGAAAGTGGAACGACACTCACTGTTCCTACCAAAGCAAACAGAGAGAAAGAGGGAGAGGAGCGTCAGACTTTTCAAATGACTTCTTGTTGGCGCTCTTGAATCTTGATTGTTTGCTGAATTTGGGCCTTTATTGGGCTCGTTTCTTTTTTCAGCTCTAAACCACCTAATGTTAATACCTGGCGTTCCAAGAATTTTTTTTTTTTTTTTTTTTTTTGAGAACTCTTTCGAAGAACGAGTAAATTATAAATTAGTCTTCCTAATTTTGCAAAACGAATTATATAATCCCTTTTAGTTTAAAAAATAATTTATTGGTCCCATGACCAGTGTTGATCTTATTTAATTTAGAATTTTTTTGGTTAAAAATATTTTCTTTTTTTATTATTTTTCTATAGGTTTTACTATCTTTTACTCTTTTTTTATTAAAACAAAAAATAAATTGAAATTAATGAAAAAGAATTGCATTGCAATATATTTAAAATATAGGGACTAATTAATTAGTTATGAAAACTAGAGAGACTATATAATTCTTTATGAAAAACTAAAGGGACAGATTTATAATTCACTCTTCGGATACCTTAATGCGTGGATTGCAAGTGGGAAAATAAAACGTGTTTATGCAAACAAATCAGTAGACGAAAGTGTATACTTAAAAAAATAAAAAATAAAAACTGCCAAGTGGCATGAATTTTCTTTGGGTTTAAGGGCGTTTTTGGGTAGAGGTATTGCCATTTTGGCACATAAAAACGAATGGCTCCAAATGTAGTATATTCAGAAGGGAGGAGAAATTCATACCAAGATGCATCTCAGCTTTCAGAAATTAAGAACAACATTATTGATGTCAGTCGATTTATTTTGAATTGTTGAAATTTAAATTCTTTTTATACCAAGACACGATACTGAAAAAAATGTTCAAGTAGAAGAATGACATCCCAACAGAGAAAATTAAAAAAACTAGATCTAATACCAAATTAAAAACCAGATCTACAAGGAGACAAAATTAATAATACTGAAAAAATAAAATAAAACAAACAAAAATAATAATAGATATAACAATAAAAGCTCCATCACTAGAAAGGAAAAAAAATTATTCTAGCAACCCCATAGAAAAAAAAATTACGAAATAAGTAAATCAATTTTGAACATTTTTCTCAATCGAATGCATAAGTTTTTTTTTTTTTTTCAGTATGTCAACTTTTTTAAGGATACCAATTAAGATTTTTCATCTAATTTTTTGTATAGTAATGATAGGTAGTTAACAGAAAAAACCAAATCACTATGTTAGCTTTTTTATTCTTTTCTCCTATGGCATGAGTGGCAGCTGCTTTGCTTTTTTTTAAAAAAAAAAATTAATATTTAAGCAGTAATAACAATTAGGAGCAGAAAAAAAAAAGAGCAACATAGTTATTTAGTTTTTTTATTAACTATCACATCATTACTATAGGAAAAATTAGATGAAAAAAACTTGATTGACTTTTTTTGAAAAAATTAATATATTGAGATAAAAAAAATAAACTTTAATGTACTCGATTGAAAAAATATTCAAAATTGATATACTTGTTACGTAGTATTTTTGAAAATAAAAATAGTCAATTAGCCTGCATAAGATCATTGGCCTGTTGATTTGTATTAGCTTAATTTACATATTCAGAGCACCTTATATTGATTACTCGAAGAACTTAATTCCAAAGCAAACTCTTTTAGGGTCAATTTTAATTTGCTCTCTTGAGATTTGAAGGGCTTCTCAAATTCTCTTTTCAGATCTTGTTTGTATCAATTACTCCCAAAACTTTCATCAAAGTTTCAATTTTTTTTTTTCACTTTTATTAAGCCATCATGGATATTTTTTATGTCTTGATTGACTTCATAAATTTTTTAAAAAAAATTATTAATCACACATTCATCAATTAAATTAACTGGTATCTTGTTTTTTCAATTAGGATTATTTTTTTTATCTCGTGTTTTTCAAATTTATAAACTTTTAAGATATAATAAAATATTGATAAAAAAATATAAAAAAGAAAATTATAAATCTTGTATGTTTTAATAAAAATACAACAATCTAATACTAAGTTAACATAGTTTCTTAATAATAAAAAAAGAAAGTTAGCATAACTCTGCATCATTATTTTTATATTCTCATTTGAAAAATAAAACACGTGTTAATGGTGTAAAACACAAATTTTAATATCATAAATTAATAATAGCACACTATATTTTTAGTTAATTAAATTTTTTATATCAATTCTTCAAATTTTATTAAAATTCATAAACTCATATTAATAACTAATGATATGTCATTTCATAGTTGAAATAATATTACTTTTTATATATTTTTTCAAATTTTGATGAGATGAATTTTAATATAATTAAAAGATATTTGATTGATATTTTTTTTAATATTTTAAGAAGATAATCGAAACATAAAAAATTTAATGTAATTAATTATGCTAGTTTAAATGAAAAAAGTAGAATTGAAATTGTAATAAAAGTTTAAGAGGGGAATTGATACAAAGGAAATCTCAAGTGAGAAAGTCAGTAACTTCTCAAACAAGAGAAACCAATTAAAGTTTATCCAACCTTTTGCTAACTCTTTAATCTTTTTTGTCTACTAGAACGGCAATATGTTCACCTAAAATTTGGATTGCACACAAATATATATTCCGCGATTTTGTCTTGAGAATTTTTGTGCAGGCAAAGCAAAATCCATTGCATCGCAGGGCTGAACTGACCCAAAAGTAGATGAGCTAGAATCGGACAAGTTGATTTTAGGCACGACCTTCATTTTCTCACAAATTAGGGCCACGTATTGTTCATTTGCCTAACGATCGACCCTTTTAAGCCCAAGACTAGTTTAGGCCACGCAGTATGTTTTATGGGCTTCCAGTGGACTTTAATACTGGATTGTAGTGGTAGATACGAATTTGGAAATCCTACCTCCAGAATTGTGAGAAACTTTCTCCTCTTTTAACTGGATTCATTAGAATTTAGAAGAGTATGGACTATCGTTGCAGCGCTGGGTATATAGAACAAACAAGAGTTTATACAAAACAATTTTGGTACAGTTTGGTTCGAATACGACTTATCCCATGTCCAAATTTCTGTTCTGTTGTTTTTTTTTTCTTGGAGAACTTGCTCTGTTCAATCCCGTTCTATTCAGTTCAATTTTGTCCTATCCCGTTTATGTAAATTTGGAACTAAATCAATTTAGATGAAAGCTTTCTATGCAGCTGTAGTGGTACAAAATTTTCTCGAGGAAGGAGAAAGTAGGCAATATATAAGTGAGAAATCATCATGACAAGCCCCTTGTGCGAAACTAATCATTTTGTTTGGCATTTCGGATCAAGTACTCTTAGATCGAGCGTCAACTTTTTTGAACATGGCCTAGTGAATGAGCCCTTCCCCTTTCCCAGGACCCAGGCAATCCTATCATTGTGGAGCCAGTGCTTCCACTGATTCCATGTTAAGCCCGGGACAGTACAAAGAGAGGTTACCTCGAGTGAAGAGTCTTGACCAACATAATTATAATTGAAATGAATAGGAAAAAAAAAAATTAGGATCTCTTTATTACACTATCAAGAATCTGTTCTTCAAACCAAATTAGCAGCATGTATCAACTTTCATGCATGTAGTTTCATATGATACAGCATAAAAAACCCTTGAGATGTTTTATGGGCCAAGATGATTACAGTGAGCTCAGAATCCTCTACTTCTGCTTTCAAGTGGGTCAACGAGATTGTCTGTCTGATATGTTAGTATTAGCTTTAAATCTTTTACTTGTTTTTTTTTTTTTTTTTGAATTGTAAAACAAGCCTAATTGCATACTTATTCAAATTTCAAACACTGGCTCCCTCTGGTACCTAGATATTGTTTTTATCAATTATTTTATAATTTTATACTATCCACAGATATAATATTATAAATTCATTTGAAAAACATACCTCTTTTCTTTTCCGTGTTGATTAAAAGTGGCACATTAAAGACCCTGCCTACAATTATAAGAGGAAAAAAAAACAAACAATCAGACTTTTAAATTTCCATCTAAAGTGTGATGGAGAGGCTTCTAAAACTGAAAGCAAACATCAAAACCCTTGCTTTACCCCCTGTTTGGATACGGGTGAAAGCGGGGAAGAGCAAAGAAAATAGGGTGGAAATGAAAGTTTTCCCTCGTTTGGATTGCGAGAGGAAACCGAGAGGAAAGAAAAAATAAATAAATAAATACTTTTTTCGTAGGACCCATTTTCCTCCCAAATTTGGGAGGAAATGGAAGGAAAACCGTGGTACTTCATTCTTTTTTTTTGTGATACCTTATTTGCCATTTGCCTCTCATCGGTCGTCCCTCTCCTTTCATTATCGTTGCGGTAACACAAATCCGCAAATCAACACGGGGTTATTGGCGTTACTCGCGCCTTCTCTCCGGTTAGCATTGTGTTTTCGAGCAGTCGAAGCTTACACCCACGGTATTGGTGTTTCATCACATCCAGCGACCTCCGTATTGGTGTAAGCTTAAACCGGATCTATAAATCAAAAAGAAAAGTTCATCCAAAGTTGTAGCATAAGCGAGGGCAAGTAATGTGTTATTTGATTTTGTTCTTTGTCTTCTATAAAATGGGTTGTGTTTGATCTTGAATGTGTGATGTCACTTCCCCTTTGTTTGGAATCAACGTCAAAATTAGAAAATACACCATGTTCTCCCTTTCCCGCCCGCGAGAACTTTCCAAACTTTTACCTCCTCCTCGTATAAGATTAAGTCGATGGGTTTGGTTTCTCTTGCATTGTTGGTAATGGTTTTTGTCTTGCCAACTTCGGCATATTACAAGTATAGTAATCGAAAGATTTTACCCATTTTGAAGGATTCGGATTCCAAGAGCTATGCGGTTGTTTTTGACGCGGGGAGTTCGAGCGATAGAGTGCACGTGTTTTGCTTCGATCAAGACTTGTCTCTCCTTCCCGTTTTCAACGGCACCGATGTTGAGCTTTTTGCTAAGGTTAATTACAACCTTTATTGTACAATGTGAACCACATAGGTAGACGACATGTCTTCGGTCGGCCTATTTGCTTACATAACATTCTAATTGTTGTTTTTAGTGTTAATGTTGTAGGTAAAACCAGGTTTGAGTGCATATGCAAAAAATCCACAAGCTGCATTGGAGTCACTTGTCCCCTTGCTTGAGGAAGTCGAAAGTGCTCGTTCCTAAAGAGTTGAGATCCAAGACCCGGTCGTAGTCGGGGTCGAGTCAATCAAATTTTTCATTTTTTCCAATTGCATTATCAAATAGTATTTACGGGGTATCGTTGGTAGCATAGAGACCACCGTAACTTTGTAAACTTGTCAAGAAAAGAAGAGTTAAATACTAGAATTTAGCATTTACTAGGAATGATATAAGTAATTTTTTTTAAAAAGAAAAAAAACCTTATGCATTTCTTCACTAAAAGTTGCTCTTTCGTTTTTTTTTTTAATTTTTTTTTATGCATTTTAGGCGATCTGCTAGTTTTAGGTCATTGGAAGGTGATGCATCTTCTTGAATCTTGTTATTAATAGAAGTGTATACTATCGATCGGCCTTTGTTTCCCCGAATTCCAAGTAGAATGTCTTCCTTCTTTTTTTTAATTGTTTTTGCGAGTTTTAGCTCGAAATTTCCATGCGGAATTGTTGCTCAATTATTTGTGGGTTGATGTTAGGGATTGCAATAATGAATCGGTGATGGTCGGGTTGTGATTTTGCAAGAGATGTGCAATCTGTAAATAGAGATAGAATTTACGCTTCTTTTTATTATTTTTACATTTGTAGAAATTTTTTTTTTTTTGCTTCTTTCTTTTTTGTGTTTTCACAAAAGCAAAGTTTGCATATATATATATATATATATATATATATATATATATATATATATTTAACATAATGAAAATATTAAAAAGGAAACAATAACTTAAAACTCTTTTTACAAATCAATTTCAAGATAATCAAATTTTGAGAGAACCATTGAATATTACCAATGGATGTACATCTTTTCTCATATTCTTGTGATAGTCACTTTTAATTATTTTTTTGCTGTAGATGAAGTCCATATAAAAGGTAAGCATTGAAGCTTAAAAACTTGACTTTGCATAAAATATACAAATCATGTACTTGCTTCGGTGAAAAAAGAATTTTCATGATAACAAATATGAAAAAATGATGGATGTCATACATGATGAATCCTGGTTGATTGTCTCCGTCCAAACTAAAAAGGTTTGTCGACGATCTCCTCCAAAATGGCCTAAAAAATAACACCTCCCACAAAGCACCAAAATTAACTCTCAAACAGCCTACAAACAAGCCCTAAAACACCTTCAAAAATAGCTTCAAACAGACCTTACACCTATCCAAAGCCCCCAAACTCGGCCTTGAAATAGTTACCAACGACCCTCAATACCCTTACGGAGCAACTATTTTAGACGAGGTCATTTGAACCACCAAAGTAGCTCCAGAAATACTCACGAAACCAGCTTCAAAACCAAAAAAAACAAAAAAAAAAACCCTAAAAAAACCCTTAAAAAATAGGCCTAAAACCAACCTCAAAACAGACCTAACACCTACCTAAAGCCTCCAAACTCAGCCACGAAACTATTACCAACGACCCTTCAAAACCCTTACAAAACAATCCCTTTGGACATGTCATTTAAACCACCAAAGCAGCTCCAAAAACACCCCCAAACCAGCTTGAAAACCATCCAAACAAAACCCCAAAACACGCTAAAAAAATAGGCCTAAAACCAACCCTAAAACAGACCTAACACCTATCCAAAGCCCACAAACTCAACCACTATAACCGTTACTAAAAGCCCCCAAAACCCTTACAGAGCAACTCCTTTAGAAATACCATTTGAACTATCAAAGAAGCTCCAAAAACACCCTCATATCAAATTCAAAACCACCAAAAAAACCCACCCAAATAGACAAAAAAAAATCCCTCAAAACAACCTCTCGAACACTTTTTAGAGTTACTGCAAAAGAAGAAATAAAAATTATTTATGATTTATCTCATGTTTTGTGATTCAATTGACTTTCCATGATTGTTTGCAATGTTACAATATACTCTTTTTTTTTAATTACTAAATAGTAATTTTTTATTCTAAAAAAAAGCATAGAAAATGATGGGTAAAAGCAACTAACTTATTATATGCTTAGATAATAAGACATGTTATACATATTTAAATTAATTTTATGTTGATAATTAATCTAAATTAGCTATTGAATTAATTAATTAATAAACGAGTTATCGATTATTCTATGGAGACGATTCATTATCCATCTTATCATTTCGGATAGATGCTACATGCTAGATTTTTATTTTATTATCATTTGTGTTATTTTCATGAAAAAAATATTCATACAAATTATTATAAGTATTTAAATATAGAAATATAAGCATAGGGGTATTATAGTAAATATACTATAATATATTTTCTTTCCTCTATCTTTTTACAATTATCCAAACAAGAAAAATATATTTTCTTTACTTCCATTTCAACTCTTATCCAAACAAGTGAAAAATAGTTTTCTTTCTTCTTCTCTTTTCTTTCCTCCCAAGAGGAAATATCTAAACAAGGGGTTAGTGTTTAGTAATCAAGAAGATTAGCTCACAATCTGAACTGTTATTCTCAAATTCTGTGCTTGTATCAGTAACTGTTGCCACTTAATAGAGCTATGTTACCATGTCCTGGACACATGTAAAAGATGAAAAGTTACTGGTGACCGTTCGGTAATTTGAGAACGTGAGGGATGAAATTTTGATTTTTAATTCTCGCGAATTATTAAAGTGCAGAGCTTTATTCCATTGCATGTGGGTTCGCATGATTTTGAGGCAAAGGGGATCAATCAGCTTTTCCCAATAAGAAGGGCCATTATGGCGTAATTAGTGAGTCCCCTGTTAATGACGAGTCGCACTTAGGCCAAGAAACGTTGGGATGACAATTAATTTTTTTCTTCCCTTTGATTTTTAATTATTTAAAAAATATTTTTTATAAACTAAAAACAAATAATCTAAAATACACTTTTAATCTTAAAAAAATAAATTTATATAATTTATATGATGGATTCTTATATATTTTTTTAATGATAGTGGCATGATATATATATATATATAATTGGATAAGAATTTTCACAAAAAAATCTAAAAAACTCACTTCCCCACCTCTTTTATTATGGCTCTAACATCATAAATTTAAGGAATAAATTTTAAATAATTAACATAATAAAAAATATATGTTTATTTTAAAGTAAAAAACACATCACCGATATTATTTTCTTGTTATGCTGTATGGAAAATCCAAAAAATAACCATTGATCTTCCATAAAATTTTCACAAAATTCAACAATAAAAAAATTACTAAAAAAAAAAAAAACCAAGATAGGCTTATGCAACTGGGCTTAGCAAACGATTCCCACATACACGCCTTTAAAGAAAAAAAGACGACACGTCTGACTGCAAATTCTTACAAACTCGAGCTTATCAAAAAAATTCATCAAAAAATCGAGATTTTCAACACACAGCTTTTCGAACCAATTTCAACTTCATTTTTATATCTAAACAGTTTAAAATTATAGAAATAAAGTCAAAAAAACTCATTTAAAATCTCAAAACTTATTTCAATATATATAAAATACATAAAAAATCAAAATCAAAATATTTTGTGAGATCTTGATGGAGCGCCACCAACTATTTAATGACTTTTAATTTCAATAAACAAACTATGATCTCCAAGATGAATAAATTAAAGATAAAATGGATTACAAAATGGTGAAAGCAGGCCCAATCATCATTTTCTCTCTCCTTCTTCATTTTTATTTCTTTCTTTCTTTTTATGATCAGAAACAAAACACGATTCATAAGAAGCATAAAATAAAAATAAAAGTTTTTTAAAAATTTAGAGATCAAAATGTAACATTTGCAAAAATTTGCATATTTAATAGTTGAAAATAAATTTGAAATAACAAAAATGTCATACATGGTAAAAAAAAAAAAAAAAAACAATGTAGTTGAGTCACAATTCACAATACAATGAGGTAAATTGTTTTCTTTTAGTGTTTTTTTTTTTTTTGTTGATTAGTGACTACTATATTGTTTTACCATGACAATTTATGAAGGACCACTTTTTTTTACACCCGCTAATGCATTTTTTTTTTTTTTTACAACAACAACTATAATAAATCATTAAAGCTGATTTTTTTTTTTTTGAACGACATTAAAGTTGAGTCTGGGACAGAAAGGATACGAATGTAACAGGAAACTGTAGGTTGAAAAGATGGATCAACTTACTAGAATTAGTTCTATATGAATTCCTTTTGTAACGGCATAATTTTTTGTATGAAGCAAATTTATGAAATAAAAAAATTATTTTATTTTAAGGTGACATTATGGGGCTATCTCTATACAAAGACCAAAAAATACATTTCCCTACCTAGATCTTGAAATGGAATCCGAAGTACATATTCGCTGGCTAGTTGTTACTAGCCAGCTGGGCCAAACTTCAGAGTTTTTATAATGAGAACATAATCTGTGCTTAACTTTAAATTCCTGTGCCTTCAAACTGTATGAATTCTGCGCCTCGTACATGTCAAATTTTAATTAACATGTGTGTACTTGGGCTGATGTAATTCTGTCCCTATATTTTTCTGTGGATGACAATGTGTACTTGTCCCTATATTTGCCTCGTACATGTCAAATTTTGTCTGTGCTGAATGTAATTCTGTCCCTAATTAACAAGTGTGTACTTAGGCTGAAGGCAATTTTGCTGAACTTAGGCTGAATGTAATTTCGTTATCCTGTTGTCATCAAGCATTTTACTGTTTCTGAACTTTGGAAATTTTTACTGATGTAATAGCCTAACAGGAGTAACAAAGCAATTATCAATTGAACTGTTTATCATCAATATTTGATATTGATAAGTTAGAAAAAGAAAAAAAGTGCACAGTACAGACCATCCAACTTTCCCATACTACTGATTAAATCTACTGGACAAAATGGACAGCCCATATTTTTTAGTAATTTAGTAATATAGTAAGAGGGACCCATATTTCTTTCTTCCGCTACTGATATGATAATCTTTCATGCAATGAACGGTCAGATTTCCGTCATGAACATTGTCATACACAGGCCTATTAGTTTACTATAAATCCCAGTTTGCACATGCATGCGTATCAAAGATCCCCATAAAC